TTGCCTAACTTCTAACCCTCCTAGATTGTGTTATACACCAAATTAAACTTAACTAAGTGTGCCTAAACCCTTCTAACATCAATCTAAACAAGTAGCTACAAGATCTCAATCAAAAACTCACAAAAGCTAAACTTAGAGACTCAAATTGAATTCTACCACTTATGGTACAATTTCAAGTAACTTAGGGGTTATAACAAGTCCCAAATGACTTACCAAAGCTCTCCAAACTGACCATTTGAGCACAGAACCTCTAACTCAAGTTTTCACTATTTCACTTCCTTAGTTTGAGTTCTAAACCAAGTTGAACTCTACACAATCACCACCACTCACTCCTAACTGAAATCTCTACAAAATAAAGTGTTGAACATGACTCAAACCAGTTCATAAGCAACCCAAACTTCATCAAATCAATTCACCAACCATTCCTCATCACTTCACTACCTTAAACCTCCATTTTAGACCAATTAACTTACAACCAAGACTAGCCCTTTTTCTTCCAACAATTCAATCAACACAATTCACTTTATCAACATCAAATTCAACATCACCAATATACATATAACAGATTCAACATGTTATACAACATCTATCATCATACAAAGCATCAAACACAACAATTGATTTCTGTACCTCCAATCACAGAACAAAATTTTACTTCAACAATTCAATATTTATACATTCTCTAACATGCACAATTAACATGATTTAAAGAAAACTCCACCTTCCCTTACCTTACACCGACGATACAAAGTACAAATTACGCCTCGATTACTTGATACAAACCACAAGGAATTTCTAGAAACACTTACGAATCACTAATTGACGATTGGAGACAAATCTTAGAACCCAAAATTAACTAATAATCAAGGAAGAAGATCACTTGATACATGCAAAACAATTTTTCTTTGCATGATCAAGGATCAAGAAAAGGAACAAGAAAATGGATGAAAACTTACTTGCTTTAAACACCAAATTGATCGGATAGAATGGTAGACCTTGACGCTGTGATCGTATAGGCACCTCCTGATCTTCAAATAGATGACTTGAGATCAAGAACTTTTAGGAAAAATGTAGAGAACTCTAGAAAAGTGATTTCTAGAGAGATGTCACGTTTTAAAATAATAAAACTTGTTTATAACAAAATTATTTATAATAAAACCGTTTAATATTAAAATTTTCGAGTCTCACTACTTTTAGACTACCACTACTTCTAAAATACTATTTTCTGATGTTTTACATGAATTATAATATAATAATTTAATATGTAAAGATAATAATTATTTTAATTTATTTTATTAGAGACCTTAATTAATTAAATGAATTAAAAAATATTTACAATCTAATATATATATATATATATA